TATATTTAGATAAATTTAACAAAATAATTGATAAAAAGGCAAAAAAAAATGAAAAATGGACTAAAAAAGTACATAAAAAAGTTAAAAGATAAAAATTATACATGACATAAAAGTTGAGGATAAAAATGAAATTTACCCTTTTAAATTTGAATTGAGTTGTACGGACTTTCCTGTATTGCAGTTGCAGGCTATGAAAAGCCCTTAGCCCAAAACGACGTCGTTTTGGGCTAGGGTAATCCTTTTTTTTTTTTTATTTGCAGTGTGTACCGATCAAATGTCAGTAAACCTGCCGGTACACCAAAATTTCGTTCAATACATCGAATTTTGATCAAAATATCTGAAATTTGATTGAAATAAAAATTGATATTATACCGTTTCGGTCAAATATCAAAATCGATACGTACCGACCATACCGACCGGTACGGTACAGTATTAACTCCACTGCTTTAAACACAAGCACCAAATTAATTCTTGAACTTTTAAGAAAAATACTAATTTAGTCTTTAAACTTTAATTATAAATACCAATTTCATATTTTAACTTTGATTGTATGTCAATTTATGTGTAAATGAAAATATATTACAATAGTAAAATTAGTTATTTGATTTTATACATCATTAACATTTTAAAAAATAATTGATTTTGTGATAAGATAATAAGTCACGTTGCCACTTTTGTTAATGAAAAAACTATTTTTATATTAAAAATTAAAATTAATAAATAATTTTGATATTTTTTAAATTAAAAAATAATTTTAACATAAATCTAAAAGTTGAAGGATTAAATTAGTATTTAAAATTTTTTTTTCCTGCCTCATAGACACTTTTCTGGGTGCTTAAACAAAAGTAATTTGTTTCTAATTTTGCAAGTAAAAAAATTTTCTTCAAACAAAAAAGTGTTACTAGGAGCTGCATAATTAAAAATATTGGATAGGGTTAATCTCTTGGTGTTAAAAATTATTTATTTTATAATTTAATATAATCTAAATTTCTAAATAAAAACTCTTTCATGGGAATGACTATTGATATTTTCTATTTCCTTGTGGTTTTGGAACGACATTGAATAGTTTCTTGCTCCTGGACAGGGCAATGTATATGCCCGCTTAAAGAATTGTTAAAATCACATAAAATACAGTGTGTATTTAATTTATCTAATTTTATTAATTTATATTTTTTTATTACATAAAAATTAAAAATTAAACCTTAAACATATAGTTAAGAATACATATAGCTTCGTTACCGAATACCAACATAGTTGATAATAATTATTATAATTATTAATTAATTTTAATATTTAAATTAAATACAATTATATTTATTTGAAATTAGTTCTTATCT